TTGTCTCCCAGAGTTTCTCCGGTGTTTTCCAGGAGCAGTTTTATAGTTTGAGGTCTTAGGTTTAGATCTTTGATCCACCTTGACTTGATTTTTGTCAAAGTTGAAAGGCAAATATTCAGATTCATCTTTCCGCAGGTAGAAATCCAGTTTTTCTAGCACCATTTGCTGAAGAGGTTTTCCTTTCCCCTCTGGATTGATTGGTACCCTTTGTCAAAAATCAGTTGGCTGTATGTCTGGGAATTTATTTCTGGGGACTCTATTCTGTTCCATTGGTCCACCTGTCTATTTCTGTGCCAGTTCCATGCTGTTTTAATTACCACAACTTTGTAGTGTATTTTGGGGTGAGAGAGTGAGATGCCACCCATTCCCCTCTTCTTGTGCAGGATTGCTTTGGCAATACAGGGTCTTTTATGATTCCAGACAAATCATATGATTATCTTTTCTAGATCTGTGAACAATGTCTCTGATACTTTGATTGGGATTGCATTAAATATGTCGATTAATTGGAGTAGAATTGCCACTTTGATTATATTAATTCTTCCAATCCAGGACCATGGAATATCCTTCTACTTTTTTGTGTCAGTTTCAATTTCTCTTTTTAGCTTTTAATTTCCCTTGTGGAGATTTTTAACTTTGGATAGATTTATTCTTAGGTATATTATACTTTTTGTGGCTATGGTAAATGGAATTACTTTTTTTCAGTTCTATCTCAGTCTGCCTGCTCTTTGTATATAGAAATGCTATAGATTAATGTATGTTGATTTTGTATCCTACAACTTTACTGTATTCATGTATTACTTCCGGGAATTTTTTCATGGATACCATTGGGTCTTCTATGTATGCAGTCATGTCATCTGCAAATAGAGATAGTTTCACTTCTTCTTTTCCTATTTGAATGTCTTTTATTTTATTATTTAATTTAATTTAATTTATTTTATTTTCTGATTGTGTTGGTGAAGACTTCCAGGACTATATTGAAAAGGAGTGGAGAAAGTGGACATCCTTTTCTTGTACCAGTTTTTAGTGGAAAAACTTTCAACTTTTCTCAATTCAGGATGATGTTAGCTATGGGTTTTTTGTAGATAGCTTTTATTGTGTTGAGAAATGAACAGAATAGAGTCCCCAGAAATAAATTCCCAGACATACAGCCTTCTTTGCCAATTTTGCTAAGAGTCTTCATCATGAAGGGATGTTGTATCTTATCAAATGCTTTTTTTTAATGCATCAATTGATATAATCATATAGTTTTTATCTTTCTTTCTGTTAATATGGTGTATTACATTTATGGTTTTACGTATGTTGAACCAGCCTTGCATCCCTGGTATAAAGCCTACCTGTTCATGATGTATAAACTTTTATATATGTTGTTGGATACAATTTGCTAGTATCTTGTTGAGAATTTTTGTATCTATATTATTAGAGATATTGGTCTATAGTTTTCCTTCCTTGTCCTCTCATTACCTGTTTTGTGGATAAGAGTGATGGAGGCTTCATAGAATGAATTTGGGAGAGTTTTGCCCTTTTGGATCTTTAGAAATAACTCGAGCAGAATGGGAGTTAACTCTTCTTTAAAAGTTCTGTAGAATTCAAAGGTGAAGCCATCAGGACCAGGGCTTTTCTTTGTTGAGAGGTTATTTATTACTGATTCAATCTCCTGGCTTGTTATAGGCCTATTCAGACTTTCTACATCCTCCTGGTTCAATCTTGGTAGATTATATGTGTCCAGGAATTTGTCCATCTCATCCAAATTTTCTTGTTTGTTAGCATATAGTTGTTCATAGTATCCTCTAATGATGTTTGTATTTCCATTATGTCTGTTGTTATATTGCCAGCTTCATTGCAAATTTTATTTACATGGTTCCCTTCTCTCTTCTTCTTAATAAATCTTGCTAGTGGTGTATCGATTTTGTTTGTCTTTTAAAAGAACCAGCTTTTACCTTCATTTTCTGTTAACTTCATTTATTTTCTATTTCATTTAACTTGGCTCAAATCTTTATTATTTCTTTTCTCCTGGAGTTTTTTGGATTTTTTTGCTGTTGCTTTTCCAGTTCTCTGCGGCATGATGTTAGGTGATCCATTTGCCTTCTTTCCATCTTCCTCTTATATGTACTAATTGCTAATGAACTTCCCCCTTATGACTGCTTTTGCAGTGTCCCAAAGATTATGGAAACTCATGTTCTCATTGTCATTGGTGTCCATGAATCTTTTTATTTCAATCTTAATTTCTTCGGTAGTTGCAAAGTCATTCAAGAGTAGGCTATTTAGTTTCCATGTATTTGTGTATTTTGGGGGGGGGGGGGAGAGGTGTTCGCTATAGGGTGTGTGCACTCACCAGAAAGACAGAGAGAGACAGAGAGATAGAAAGTGAGAAATCACCGCCCCAGGGGGGATGACCATGCCACAATCCCTTCTCCTCCATTCTCCTCTTGGAATCTTGGCCACACATGCCCACGAGCCCAGCGTGAGTTTAAACCACCAGGTCCGGGACTTGAACAGCAGTAGACTACATGGGAGTTAAGCAACATAGCCATTATGCTATCTGGTGGTCCCCTATTTGTGTATTCTTGAGGATTTCTCTGGAAATTAAAATGAACTTTAATTCCATCATGGTCAGAGAAGATGCTGGATATAGTTTCTATGCCTTTGAATCTGTAGAGGCTTGCTTTGTGCCCTATCATGTGGTCAGTCTTCAAAAAGATTCCATGTGGGGGTGAGAAAAAAGTATATCTAGTGGTTTTCAGGTGGGAAGTTCTAGAGATGTCTGTTAAGTCCATTTAATTTATGGTATCATTTAGATCCTTTACCTCTTTACTTATTTTTTTGTCTAGATGATCTGTCCAGAGGA